GTGCTTGTATGTGTATTTTGCCGAGAGAATTGACTCGATAGTAGAACGCAGGACGAGAATGGGTACAGAGCTCATTTTCACAATCTATACATATCAGATTCCGTTGGGAAAAAAGATGGTTGGTACAGCACGAGACAATGTCGCCTGTCTAACTGCAGATACAAAGCAGACAACCATCTGGTCTACAGACGTGGTAATGGTTTGTTGGTGGAGGTCATCTTCAATCGGTTCTGGTCTGATGTTTTAGCTGCTGTTATGGCTTTTCACCCTCTGTCGCGTAAAACACACCCGTCGATACGTGCATTACTCTTCACGGACAATGGTAAAGTGCAGTTAAAAAGGCACAAGAACAACTAAAACGAAAAAAAACAACGGAACGCCTTCCTCCCATCCCAACGATGGACAAATAAATGTCCAGGGAGAATGACCTCTCAATGCTTTATGCGTGGGAGCGTTTGTGTGCGCATACGCACCCAGTTGTGGGAACGTGCATGCATTTGTTCTAGAACATCACAATGGGAATCATTAAAATGCATTATGCTCTATTGTGCGCGTGTCGATTACGCCCAAAGGATAAAATGGCTTATTGAAAACAAAATGCTTTTTGTGGTGGGGTTGAAGAAGGCAATGGACACAACACCATAGTGGGTGCGACTGAAAGGATTTAATGGGCTGTCGTCGCACGCGGGAAGCATGACAAAACTCTCCACACGGTGAAAATATAATGAAAACGGAGTATAATCTGTCGGGATTCAAAATGCGTAACCAAAACAGTTATTAGCTACGGTACGTGTGGGCAACCGACAAATTCAGGTGAACGAATGTGGGATCCATCTCTAGGGTTCACACATGAACATGAAGTGTTTTGGTCCCAAAATCTTAGTGAATGCCGTTAGTAGTACACTTACTGTCATGCGACTAGCATATTCGGTACGAGGATGGGATACTGAGTTGTCCGGTAACTGTGCTATCCCTAAAAGACCGCCAGAGTCCAGACAAACGCTACTTAAAACAAAAGTTCAATTTCTCGAACGAAATACATAATTTACGGCGTAATTAACCAACATCCTGCCATGCATTTTGGTGCCAATACAAGCTTTCTGTAAGCTTGTACAAGCTTCTACAATTTTTCACCAATCCCGTTTCAACCAAGATAACAACATATCAGAGACTAGATCCGGAAATGTACACTGAAAATGATGCTGAGCTGAGGTATGCCATGAGATGGTTTTTATTGGGACAGTCATCAATAATGTTTAATGAATGTGGTAATTTCCACTTGGTCAGATTTCTAGCTTCCTTGTAGCACAATTAAACGGCAGAAACTGAAGAACCCACGAGCTGCACCGAAATTCGGCGGGGCATTATTTAACTCCCAGTTAGACCCGGAATCTAGTGAAGCCGAAAAGAAGCACACATTCACGGAGCTGATATGGATACACTCGGACTAGATCAAGAACGTTGACGGAAACTCGGGGACTGCGCCTACATGATGAGCCCCAAAAGTGCGAAACCAGTCTTGGGCTGTCAACGGATTTTCAGCAACCTTATGAGTAGTATATTACAAAGATATACATGTCTCGAGATATCTCGAATGTCGTAGCTACTGAAACATGAGACGGCCTGGTGCAGCACATTTGGCTGCCTGAGAACATCATAAACGAGAGATTCAGCTGGGTTCCTGGTGAGCCGCTCGAAAAACCAAATTAGTTTGCAAATAAGTGTATATTCGCTAATTTTGTGCAATTTGGTTTCAAATAGAACATAAGGTTGATGGGAACCCGGGGACTGCGCCTACCTGATGAGCCCCAAGAAGGGCGAAACCGTTCGTGGGCTGTCGGCAGATTTTCAGCAACCTTAGGAGTAGTACATTACAAAGTAGATACGATTAATTTGATGAAATATATATGGAGAGAAAAGAACTGATAGATCAGCCAAACAAGGTGCAGAGCCCAAATTTTGCGCAGATTTCTACTTTTAGAACAATTTCTCGCCGACAACAACAATGGGCTGGTGGTGAATATAGCACCACTTAGTTATCATTTCCGACCTTGAACGGGTTTTAATGGGGGTCCTCGGAAACATTTATACGGCGCTACACTGGCAGAAGTGCGGTGTTTCGTCGAGACGTAAAAAAGTTATCTGACGGCGCCGGTACCTCCACTCTAATACTGAAAAAGCCAATCATTGCGCCATCATACTGACATAGCTCGATAGTCTTCGAAGTGCTTCCAGCAACTTATTTTATTCCTTCGCTTCTGAATGGGAGTCAGGGGCCTGTGTACTGTACCACAGGCGTTGGCGCAAACCTGTGATTCTCCACCTACAAAATGGCACCGAGTGATGTGACCACCGTTGGGTAGATCTGGTGCTAATGTCAACCATTAGTGATATTGAGCCAGTAAAATTTAGTTGACACAGAGATTTGATCTCCGGCTACGATCTTCGAAAAAAACCAACAAATTGTTTAAATAAGTTGATTCACTACATCGTGATGAAACACAACAGTCCGACTGAATGCAGATACGACACTACATTGAATTTCGTCATTCACCACTCTAAGAATGCCTCTCTAACTAATGAACATTTATCCTGCAGAATTCAAATTCAAACCGCGACAGACATATGAAAATTCTAACAATAATGCATTATGATGGGTCAGAAAACAGTGACATTTTCTGGAATCGAGCACATTTTGTGATTATTATTCACGTTTAAATGTATTGAATGCCTATAGTTGATACTGTCCCAGAGAGCCTATCTCTCCACAAACTGACCTATTGTTCATGAAGGAAACTACTCACAAGGTTGCTGAAAACTCTTCGCCCTTCTTTGCGCTCATCGGGTAGGCGCAGCCCCCAGAGTTTCGATCAACCTTATGTTCTATTGTTCATTGTTGGCTGAAAGAACGGGACTACACAAAATCCAAAACCACTATTGCTGAAATCGTTGTGCGCCGAGAAAATCGCACACCGAACCATAAGTAATCAAAGCCTGATATAAAAGTACCTTGCATCGCTTTCATGGATTTCTAGCGTCCTGCCAGGCGTACTATGTTGCTCTATTGGAAAGCTGTAGTGTGACACGAAGAGGTCGCAAATATCAAGGATTCATACCTGGGGAAAACGGTTCAATTAAGCTGAAATAAAATTAAAATTATCTGGGAAACATCGGCACATCTATCCACAGGAACGTCCATTCAACTTCAAACTATCTATTTATCTATCTATCTACTATCTATCTTATCTGTCTGTCTGTCTGTCTGTCTGTCTGTCTGTCTGTCTGTCTGTCTGTCTGTCTGTCTGTCTGTCTGTCTGTCTGTCTGTCTGTCTGTCTGTCTGTCTGTCTGTCTGTCTGTCTGTCTGTCTGTCTGTCTGTCTGTCTGTCTGTTTGTCTGTCTATCCGTCTGTCTGTCCCTCTGTCTGTCTGTTTTTCGGTCTCTCTATCTATCTTTTCGTCTGTCTATCTCCTCAGCCGTCTCCCTCTGTGTCTCTGTCTACCCATCTGTCTGTCTGACTGGGAGCTTGCAGCTTGTGTTTTTTCTATTACCCTCGCTGGCTGCCTGTCTGTCTGTCTATCTATCTTGTCTTTCCGTCTTTCTGAAGGTATGAATGTATGTATGTATGTATCTCAGTATTAGCACCAGGGCCCTGAAACATCACGGAGAGTTTAACACCGACAAAACGTCTGGGGATTACTGAGTCTACGATAAGATGTTAGAGGCTTCATCTTCGTTCCTTTATTTATCTTTAGTTCCAGTATTATATCACCTCTACTCCAAGAGTATTTGCATTGTCGGGAGAACTATTCCTTGGTATATGGGAGGGTGATAGCATGCAAGTAGTGGCAATCTCCCCTACGCCAATGTGAGCACCGTTGTTTTTATTGTCACGTCCGGTATCCAGGTGTGTGTACCGCTTTTCAAGCTTTAGACCTCTACTTGAGATTTTCAGTAAACAGCCTCGAACTTTGCGGCGGAAAGCAATGGTATGGAAATTGCGATGAACCTTTGGATATTCACCGAAATCCGGTCCTTTTCGCTGACTAAGAACTTCATTCATATGGCAGAATTTCGGCAATAAATACGTAGAAGTGACTTTCAGTCCACGTTATGATCAAATATTTCATTACCATTTGGATACCAGAAGGTTGCCTGTCGTTGACTTTTACCAAAAAGCGGCAATAAATACGTAGAAGTGACTTTCAGCCCACGTTATGATCAAGTATTTCATTACCATTTGGATACCAGAAGATTGTCTGCCGTTGACTTTTACCAAAAATTACCTTCATAAATCCTTCGCCAGGTTTAGTGGGAACGATTGCTATTCAGATTTATTCTGCTCAAGAGGCCATTTCTCATTTCGACTTTTCTCCCTGCTCCACACTTTTGAGGTTCAATCAAGAAGAAAAGTGGTGAAAGACAACTCATATGATATATTTCATTCTCAATACTGGTGTCATACGTCAAACAGTAAATTAAAATTACTGGCTAAATTTGTCTTAGTCAGTGGTTTACGAAGCGGTAGGTGTGTTTCAATAAGGGTTTACGAGATCAGACAAAATTTAACATTTCTTCAAACTGAGTGATGAGGCTAGATATAGAATACTGTTTCTCAATGTGATCAAATGTGAGTTTCGGGATTTCTTGAGAAGTGGTGTCAGCAGTGTCATTGGTTTGTCCTGTCGCCATTGATCGAGTACTGGTATTCAGGTTTCAACTGGCAAGGGTTCTCCTCTTTGTGATCAATTTTTTGTCTTGACACATCGCTCATATGGAATATTTCGCTATCGGATGTTGAATAAGTGAAAGCTGGCAACAGCCTTTTGTTGGTTTCGTTTAGTAATTGGTATAATTCATCCGGGTGTGGGATATGTCTTGGGAGAAAAACGGACTGCCCATCAATGCTGAAATAATCGGGGCAACGTAAGGAGTGAAATGAATTCATGGGAGAGGATAGCTTTGTGTTTAGCAACGGATCGTTTAAATTATGTTTATCCACTTTTTCTGTACAAGTCGGAGAACCATATTCAGGTGACAATCTTCCGATCAAACGATCTACTGAACCGAAAGACATTTTGCTTTTTTCCACAGGAGTGTCCCATCCACAGTCAGGATATAGGTGCGGTGCTAGGAGAGAGACCGCAGAGGGAAGTGTCAGCGGTGTGTGGTGCAACCCAGTATCACTGCCAATCCCAGTATTGGTTGGTCTTGATGGAGAAGCATCGGATAAGCTGCTGCTTAGAAAATCAGAAGCGGTAACCATTTGCTGCCAATTAAATCGGTAGTTTGAGACAGCTTGAGTCGGCAAACCTACAAATCAAAGGAAGGTGGTTAAGGAATTCCAATATTCTCTTTGTTTTTCGTTGGTGAGTTTTTTTGCTTTAATTTTCGATACTAAAAACTGTTGGAGGTTACTTATTAGGAATGGAAGGGCACTTAATCATTTCCAACGTTTTGCTGTGCGTAAAATTCTCCTTACTGTTTGTTCCATTTGTCACTCAGCAATAAATGGTATCCGCACTAATGGTGGCTACGCACCTCACTAGTTAGTGTAATCTCCTCACTCGTGGCATACGATGAATTGAATTCGGAGGTTTTTTCAACATATTATCCGAAGCCCATATGCATCCGTGCGTGTAAATTCAATTTCTTGTGCAAAATTGCCCGCGCATCCAAAATCCATCACTGTGAAATACTTGGGGATAGACATTGATATCAACTAGTCTCCTCGTGTTGACGTTGCCGCCGCCTGATTCCCGCGACTAGCTCTCATTCACTCAGAGTAAGAGTGTACTGTGTACCACCTTGTAGTGCCCCTTTTCTTTGTCTACCCGATAGCCTGGGCTGTAATAATGCTATATACGTTTAGTAATGAAATGTATGTGTAGAATGCCCTGTGTCTGGAGTAAATCCGAGAAAATTAGACCATGTGACAGTTCCAAAATCGTCACATTGCAAGTGGAGTGTTTAGATCAACGATGTATATAGAGGATAACCCGCAAAAGAGCCCAGGCGGAACATATGCCTAACTTTTGCTAGCCACTTGCTTGTAAATGAAAAACATTTCTAGTCCGACTCAGGATTAAAGCTTTTTGATTTTAAAAAGATTAATCCTCATTAAATGGACAATAAACACAAAACAGCATAGAGTACAACTTATTAGAGGGCACTGCGATGGGCGAAAAACAAACGGAAGTTGCTAATGCAGATTAGTAGCTCAAAGTCGAGAACCTGTCGGTTTTGGGACGGCCGACTACCACAAATCACAAGACCTTATGACCAAGTCCGGAAGTGTATATATTCCCTCACACCTGAAGCAATAATCGCAATTCATATTTTCCAGGCTATCCCAAAAGGCTTTTTGCCTACTGAAAAGTTACTGAAGCAAGTTAAGCGATAGACTTGCATTTCAACGACAGTCGTTGGTGATTTTCTGGCCAACAGGCAATATGGATACTCAACACCTACTTCATTCCGTTTTGGCTAAAGTCACTTCTGCTTCTGGAAACCTGATTAATTCAAATAGCTCCTGCTATTACCGATACTTATCAGAATGTTGTCCTCCATTATATGACCCCACATCTGTTTCTTAGTAATTTGGTGCCGAATAGCTGGTGGGTTATTATTCTCGCTTCATAGCAACTCTGTCTCAGAGGGTTTATATCCGCCTATTTTTACTGTTTTAAATAGGCACCAGCGTACTACAAAATGATAGACAGCGTGGTCTCTCGCTGCATTACTTGCTGGCTTCTTTGTGACTAGGATAGAAAAAGGCACTGATCGAGTTGGCATTCACACCAGATATATTGACGATATAGTTATCGTAAAACCACCTTGTATGAATGTTTACCGTGTATTATAGTTCCATTGATCCGTGCCTTCTCCATTCAACTGTATGTATGAGCCAGAGAACATGAACTGTGTACAGATCCCCAAAGGGCCTTTAACTTGTCCGACTGTTGCGTACCCTTCGTATCTGTTGCAAGCCGACCGAATTCGACCAAAACATTAACCTCTCTAGCGTTATTCTCTTTAAAGAAAGAGGGAATTCAGTCAGCTGCCTTACTCAGGACCCCGTGAAATTCACACCTCAGACAACCTTGACTCTGAAATACTAGTTCTAGAAAGGATTCTTAGATAGAATGATTGTTCAAAAAATTTTCTCGACAGAAACTTGCATACCTCGGTATGTCGACCAACAAAGGCAGAGGACGTTTGAAGGCCACTGCCCAAATCCTAATTTAGCAAAATTAGTGGTTCACTTTACCAGCGAGCCGCAATTCTACAAAGGCTAAACGAGAGAAAGCGCCAACTGGCAATGAGTATACGTTTGTTCAATCAAATGTTTGCCTAATTCTGAGTATATTGGCCAAATCTCCGTTCCTCTCCCCAAGGGAACGTGTGAACGCTATCTTGTCTGGCCAACTACAGGGAAGAAAAATAACCCAAGAAATGTAATATGTGAATACACAGTAAGTTAATTCATAACGTTAATCTTAGCTACCATGCGCGATTCATGAATTCGAAATCTTGGCGACGGCTAAGGATACCGCAAGTTATCTGCACTGTCCGTGTGTCTACAAACAAAGTAGTCTGTCCATATCCATGAGAAAGCCGAGCTAACCACTTACTAGTTGGGTTGGTGGCATGACAGCTACCGGTTGGCCCACGATGAACCAGTCGTTGGGAGCTGTGCATTATAGGTTGACTGCTGGCGGACTACAGTATACGAACTCGGCAAGATTCCTCATCAGCACCTTACCGTCTTATTGCACCATATGCACTGCTATGGGTCAAGTTCTGTCGTGGATATCAGAAATTTTACTGTGTAGCCGTAAGGCTGTTCCCCGTAACAGTCGACTACCCCATGTTTCGTATTTGTTCGGAATCCGACCACTTGTGGGTAGCCATCTAAAGCTCTACATGCCTCGTAGAGGGTAATATTCGAGACATCAGACCTTTGCTTCACGTAGTTGTTAAACATAACATAATATTTGGAGGAATGATTGACGCAACCACTAAAATTTTACAACAGCTTGATATTTAGTCCCCATTTCTGTGAAACTAAAACGTTTCCCCTAAATTCCGCGCTATTATTTTCGCCTTCTGTTGGGCAAATGAGTCAAAGGATAAGCTGCAACTCACTCGATCCTGTCTCTGTTACAAAGTTCTGCGAAACTACATAGATGTGTGTCACAAATATTCTTATGTTAGCTCCGGTAACTCCAACTTTTGGCCTCAGAGACAATCGCAATTTTGAAAATACTCCTGTATCGCACTGGCTGCGGTGACCTATCGAGGCTACCTACCCAGGTCCCATATGGTTCAGTCAAGATCCGCTTTGGAGCCACAAACGACGTACAACATTAGGAAAGAACAATTTTATTGACATATCATCTGCCCAAGTGAACAATAGCCCTGACCGATCCAGTGTTACTTAGCACTAGAATCAATACACTACTCACTGTTGTTCAGATGTTTTTTACCCAGACAAGCGAGTTAGAAGTTGCTGCTCGAAGGGGTAGAACTAATCGTTCATTTTCTCAAGGCTTCGCACACGGGGGAGCAAGTGAATCTAGGATGGAGCCATTACGCTCTTTTCTTGAGGCTTTCCAAGTGAGGGAACTATGCTGAGGTGCGTATCAAAACTAAAGGTAAGCGTATGTTTTTCCCAAATCTATATTATGTTATGACTAGTTTTGCGGACTTTTAAAGTTATGACACAAAATAGAGTGTTCTATGCTTTTTCAATGTCGACCACATTCTTAGGCCTTCCTCAACACACACTGCATATGGATTTTCTGCAAATTCAGCAAACCTGTAAATCGATGCTGGATTCACTCTGGTCTGGATAAACAGCGTTTTTGTCACCAGATATTTCCACTATCCCACTGCCCTCCACAGCATACTCTGGAGAAGCCTTAGGATAATGGGGTGACTTGGGAAATATTTACTTGGGCATATCATGAAATAGCCAGCAGACACTAAAGACGGAGTTTACCTCGATTGTTGTTTTGCGGTATTAGGTAACATGGAAAACCTTAATAGGCATGTCTATGACTCGTTCAAGCCGTCCACTGGCTTTGACATAGACCTCCATTAAACAAAGTTATCCGATAAAAGTCCAACTTACGGCTTTGCTTAAGCCGGCTGCATTTCTCTGAGCACAACAAAAGTTGAAGCAAAACAGTGAGATAAAGAACATTCCTTAGTTTATGGCGTAAAATGGTGTATTGTAAAATTGTTGTAGTACCTATTTTCCCAGCAGCTTATCCAAGGTGAAGGGGTCGGTGTGTACCGCTGGGTCACCTACACACTTTCTTGTAGCACTGCTTACTAGTACCCTCATGTTCACATTCTTAGTCTAGCACTCCATAACTAAACAAAACATCGTGTCATGCACTAACACTGAATGGAAGAGCTTCAAGGTGCTTTTAGTCTAAGAGAGACATTCCCCTCATTCCACCCTTATTCTATCGGCCTGTTCAATACACCTACTTCCATTGCTCCGTTGACAATCTAGAGGTGGAAGCTTAATTTGAGGACTACTTAATTTGATATACTTCCCGCATCGTGTGAACGATCGAAGACAACTTCACCAAAAAAAATCGATGGTACATAAGTATATAGAAGAGTAGAAGACAATGCGATCTAAATGAAAGGTACATTTTGCCTAAAGTCATCCTGGCTACACAAAACAGCTACTTCCAATCCTTTCCTGAAAGCAAGAAGAAGCTTACTCGAAGAAAGTGAGGCCCAGGTAACGAAATGTTTGGGGGGGGGGGCTAAAAAGGAATGCAGCACCAGTGAGATATTCACGCTTCTCAAGCCGACAGATAGGCTAATCAACATTCACAAGCCGAGTTGACATTCCGCCCCAATCTCACATGAAAAACTTTCCCCATCGTGTGACTGCAAGTTAGTTTAACGATGAGTCCTTCAGAAGGTGGTTGTGGACGTACAACCTACGGGACACTTTTGAGTCCCTTGATAGCACACCCAATTTCCGTAATCCGCAACCAACTGATGTGCTCGCTAGGCGTCTTATCCTTCTCGACTGACGCTTCCTGTGAGACGGCAGTTACAGAACCCTGCTATAACGAAGGCCCACATGTGATGTTGTTTACCAACAGGTATGTCCACTTGCAAAGGTAACGTCAGACGGTTGTTTTATACTTGACAATGGAGATAATCAGATGAGCTGAGATAGAAATGGGTTTTGGAATAACGCTTGACCACCGTCCTCAATACGTTGCTAGTGAGTTTTATGGACACTCCACTTCGGGTTCAGATCCATGGATTAAACTGACCGTAAACCTTACATTAGTTTGAAACCATTCTAAGGTAAATATTTGATGCCTGTTCCGCAGAAACAAAAAGGGAATTATAGTGTATTCTATAGTCAGCTTCAGTACACTAAAGATCGATGGAATTCGGCATTCTTGGGAGCCGTTTTAACAGCGAATTTATAGTGCCCTTTGGAGCATTCAGTCCACTGATTAGTGGTTGTACGGGTGGGTGGCGTTGCATTTCACCGAGTTTCTCACCTTCCATCGTCGTTCGTAGTTTTTCTGATGACAATCATTTTTTAACTGCCTCCTTCCCTTCAACTTCCCCGCGTTTAATTTCAGTGGATCTAGAGGCCTTCCTTTTCATGAATGCGTCCATATTCCTTTGTATTTTCATTATAGTATAGCATGCTAATTTAGTCAGACAACGACCATTTTAAGAATGATTATTTCCATATGACGCTCCATTTCTCGGAGCCTTTGCAAACTCAAAGAACATTCTGTGAGTTCCAAAATTCGCTTATTCTGAATAGGATATCAGTCACAGAATGAAAAGTACAAACTGTTTGCTGTTTGTGCAAACAATAGGGATGTTTGTTCCCTACATGCAGTTAACAGTCTGTTTACTTTTTTGTGTTTTTTTACCACGAATTCACCGTCGTGAAAATAGCTGATCCTAAAGGTTTCAGAACCTAGCTATCTTAGTTCGGTGTCGGCTGAATCATGATGACTTGTTTTCTTCATTTGTTTGGCCCTCTGAGTTAGGACGTNCCGTTTCACGCGTCGCTCCCTACCGGACGGGATAACCGTGGAAACTACAATCAATTAAACGTGGCATATTAAAAACGAGCTGTTATGACACGCCGCGAGAAAACATGTGCAAGCTATTAAAATTCTAGTCGTTTTGCAAAATAAGGCCACAGAACTTACGTTGTATGCGCCATCTGGACTAGGCTTTCACTACAAACACCTACCAAAGTCGAAACAGTTGACCGCCCCAAAGATCACCAGTTTTATCAGACTGTTGAAATGTGACACTTACCGGGAATGGTTGATATTGAATAGACACATTTATCTCTCTTGTTGATCAACTTCGGTTTACGCCTTGGTCGGTATTTGTAATCCGGATAAGCTCTCATATGACTTGCACGAAGTCTTTTTGCTTCGTCAATGAACGGCCGTTTCTCCATCTCGGACAAGTGCTTCCACTCCACCCCCAACCGCTTGCTGATTTCCGAGTTGTGCATTTTGGGATTTGCTTGAGCCATTTTCTTCCTCTGACCACGTGACCATACCATGAATGCATTCATAGGCCGTTTAACATGCCCCATTGTGGTAGTTGGTGTAGGGCTGAGTTGTGTGGTAGCAGGAATATACGACGCGGATGAAAAATTTTCTCCCTTTGTGAATGAAAGCGGAAGTCTGTTTAAACTGTACTCATCGCACTGTTTCACTTCATTTGTACTGTTGCCATTGCTGAGCATCCCAAACACAGAGTATAGCAGGTGGAGATTGGGGACCTCTCGCATTTTGTTCACATTTTCTGTACTAACTGCTCCATAACATTGGTGGACAGTTTCAGGGTTAGTCTCTGGCATATCGATATTTGTAGCCTCATGCATTTTCAATAAAAACCGTGAAATGACGTCAGTGAATGTGGTATTCTGTCGCAGCTCAGCAAGCTCATACTGACTGGAATTCATTGCCAAGTTGTCCATGCTGTGAATTGTGAGCAACACTACTAATTCTTTGAGTACTTCGTTATCCTCACGTTCATTGGTTCATTGTTAGTGAGTTTTCCGACAGCGCCACCTTGCAACCAATCGTTGTGTAGTGTAAACGCGCGTAAACCACAGCCTTGAGACTTGGTTTTTGACGGGGGGTTTAAAGTCAGTGAATAGAGGAGGGGAGTGAACGAGTGGTAAGAAGCCAACTTAAATTTGTCAAGCTGTGTGGTGGTAAGCTAAAGTTTTGCCTCTAGAAATCAAGGCTGGTATGACTAGCTAAACAATTACTTAGTACGCGTTGTATTCCGTCAGTAAACATCCATCCCTCGCTTCAACGGATTGGTTTGGCTTCATGGAGGAAGCAAATCGTGTGTTGTTTCTTTATTAATGATATTGAAATGTAAACAGCCCAATAAATTTTGAGCAAAGTTATTCAGATTTATTCTTCGAATTGCTATTTAGAGTGTGAAAGACCGGCCGGTGATTCTTAAAAGGAACGCATCAAATCGACGAGATTCATTCTTGAGATTGTTGCTAAATCTCCCTCATATAATTGGAGCATCAGCATGCCCAATCTGTGAAAACTTGGCTCTCTAAGGCGACAACCACTAGCGGGTTAGTATTGATCGGTTTGAAACTAATGAAAACCGCCAGTGGATCTCAACAAACCGCTATGGTTTGTAGTTGAAAATACCCTCCCATTCCGTTTCGAAGCAACTGTTGCAAAAATATGCCTCGTTCTATAATTGATGGACTTAAACAATCCTCTTTTGTAATCCTTACTTTCACAATCCAGTAAATATGCCGGATTGACTATCCTTGGTCACCTAATCGAAGCCTTCACGTGGAGGTCACCACTAGTAGTAGGGTACCAGTGAAACTATTAAGTGAGGCTCCTAATATTAAGGAAAACAGAATACATCTGTGCAATGTCATGAGTAAATCGTTTGAACATCGACTTTACGGGGATCAAACTTCAGCTAAGGGCTTTTGAGGATAAATATTTAGGGTTTGTTGCAAAAGACAAGGGTAGTACTTTGGACTTCGAGACCACTGATCCAGTGGTAACAGCATTTGGTCGCAGGACTGTCATTTATGGACTTGAAGATTCATGTGACAGCACTCACATAGAGAAGCCAAAGAAAAAGATGGACTTAGATGAGCATTTTCGGGAGGAGTAAAACGACAAAAGCTATATTAAATGGTACCGTTTAGAACACGGAATGCTCGAGGCCCAGCTTTCCAGTGAGGAATATGGAATTTCAGCATCAATCGCGCCGTATATTTAAGGAACAGTCTCCGTTAAACATCAAACATCATCGTTTTTTTTGTCAATAAAGGTTATGTTGCTGCAATCTTTCACGTCCGTTTGATTTTTCGACAAAGATTGGTGCTGTGCAAAAAACGGGGATCCTTGGACATTGGGAAAATTTTCCTGGGTAAAACTTTCTGTTGACGGGAGCTTCACTGCAGAAATTTTTTTAAAACAATATTAAAATTTGTTCAAGATGAAACCTTGAGATTTACTCATTATTGGGTTTAGCCCTTGCTTCAATAAATCAGTGTTATTGTTTTTATTAAGAGTAGGTCTTCGAAGATATTCCCACACATGCTTACACGGAAAATGTTCGTCGGGCTCTTTTTACTGATAAGAAGACGAACATTGATCAAAATAATACTTTTTCAATTGTTTACCAGCTCAAGCAATGGAAAAGCGAACGCTACCAGCAAATTCCAGTCGATAGAATGTTTTCTCCCAACTGAAAATACTTTGTTCTGTGAAATACCTTAACGGAGCACTCATTTCCTGCCTTCAAAATCGGTCAGATTATTGCAGGGTATTTCGAACTTTCACCCAATTATGTCACCTTATTCAGTGATGTCGTTTCGTCGACTAAATGGTGGAATGATAGTAGGAGTGCACGAATGATACTTAGCTGACTAGGTCGCTACGATCTATGAACTAGGAGTCTATCTGACCATGTTATAAATTCCTATTACATTTTCCCTGAAACTTTACAGACCTACATGAACTTCTCGATGAGTGAAACCCCCGAAGCCATGGCTGCTCTGCACGCTCCGCAGTGCTGTGGATACGAATCTGGGCGTTCCACGTGCAGATGTGTTGACTCAGCTATCCAGTAATGGGTGGATTTCTCAATCGGTCTTACCCTTGCGAGTGTTTCAAACTCGTTCGAGGCTGGGGGTCTAAGAGGTAGCTCTTGGAGTTGCCCAGCTTGGTGAGCGGTAGAACAGCTGTAAACCGAACTGACGCTTACTCGCAAGAACGGCAAACCAATGGTGACTGTCAAGGAGTTTTCAGTAAGCTTGTGAGTGGTTTCCTTCTATTAAAATTCTAGTCGTTTTGCAAAATAAGGCCACAGAACTTACGTTGTATGCGCCATCTGGACTAGGCTTTCACTACAAACACCTACCAAAGTCGAAACAGTTGACCGCCCCAAAGATCACCAGTTTTATCAGACTGTTGAAATGTGACACTTACCGGGAATGGTTGATATTGAATAGACACATTTATCTCTCTTGTTGATCAACTTCGGTTTACGCCTTGGTCGGTATTTGTAATCCGGATAAGCTCTCATATGACTTGCACGAAGTCTTTTTGCTTCGTCAATGAACGGCCGTTTCTCCATCTCGGACAAGTGCTTCCACTCCACCCCCAACCGCTTGCTGATTTCCGAGTTGTGCATTTTGGGATTTGCTTGAGCCATTTTCTTCCTCTGACCACGTGACCATACCATGAATGCATTCATAGGCCGTTTAACATGCCCCATTGTGGTAGTTGGTGTAGGGCTGAGTTGTGTGGTAGCAGGAATATACGACGCGGATGAAAAATTTTCTCCCTTTGTGAATGAAAGCGGAAGTCTGTTTAAACTGTACTCATCGCACTGTTTCACTTCATTTGTACTGTTGCCATTGCTGAGCATCCCAAACACAGAGTATAGCAGGTGGAGATTGGGGACCTCTCGCATTTTGTTCACATTTTCTGTACTAACTGCTCCATAACATTGGTGGACAGTTTCAGGGTTAGTCTCTGGCATATCGATATTTGTAGCCTCATGCATTTTCAATAAAAACCGTGAAATGACGTCAGTGAATGTGGTATTCTGTCGCAGCTCAGCAAGCTCATACTGACTGGAATTCATTGCCAAGTTGTCCATGCTGTGAATTGTGAGCAACACTACTAATTCTTTGAGTACTTCGTTATCCTCACGTTCATTGGTTCATTGTTAGTGAGTTTTCCGACAGCGCCACCTTGCAACCAATCGTTGTGTAGTGTAAACGCGCGTAAACCACAGCCTTGAGACTTGGTTTTTGACGGGGGGTTTAAAGTCAGTGAATAGAGGAGGGGAGTGAACGAGTGGTAAGAAGCCAACTTAAATTTGTCAAGCTGTGTGGTGGTAAGCTAAAGTTTTGCCTCTAGAAATCAAGGCTGGTATGACTAGCTAAACAATTACTTAGTACGCGTTGTATTCCGTCAGTAAACATCCATCCCTCGCTTCAACGGATTGGTTTGGCTTCATGGAGGAAGCAAATCGTGTGTTGTTTCTTTATTAATGATATTGAAATGTAAACAGCCCAATAAATTTTGAGCAAAGTTATTCAGATTTATTCTTCGAATTGCTATTTAGAGTGTGAAAGACCGGCCGGTGATTCTTAAAAGGAACGCATCAAATCGACGAGATTCATTCTTGAGATTGTTGCTAAATCTCCCTCATATAATTGGAGCATCAGCATGCCCAATCTGTGAAAACTTGGCTCTCTAAGGCGACAACCACTAGCGGGTTAGTATTGATCGGTTTGAAACTAATGAAAACCGCCAGTGGATCTCAACAAACCGCTATGGTTTGTAGTTGAAAATACCCTCCCATTCCGTTTCGAAGCAACTGTTGCAAAAATATGCCTCGTTCTATAATTGATGGACTTAAACAATCCTCTTTTGTAATCCTTACTTTCACAATCCAGTAAATATGCCGGATTGACTATCCTTGGTCACCTAATCGAAGCCTTCACGTGGAGGTCACCACTAGTAGTAGGGTACCAGTGAAACTATTAAGTGAGGCTCCTAATATTAAGGAAAACAGAATACATCTGTGCAATGTCATGAGTAAATCGTTTGAACATCGACTTTACGGGGATCAAACTTCAGCTAAGGGCTTTTGAGGATAAATATTTAGGGTTTGTTGCAAAAGACAAGGGTAGTACTTTGGACTTCGAGACCACTGATCCAGTGGTAACAGCATTTGGTCGCAGGACTGTCATTTATGGACTTGAAGATTCATGTGACAGCACTCACATAGAGAAGCCAAAGAAAAAGATGGACTTAGATGAGCATTTTCGGGAGGAGTAAAACGACAAAAGCTATATTAAATGGTACCGTTTAGAACACGGAATGCTCGAGGCCCAGCTTTCCAGTGAGGAATATGGAATTTCAGCATCAATCGCGCCGTATATTTAAGGAACAGTCTCCGTTAAATATCAAACATCATCGTTTTTTTTGTCAATAAAGGTTATGTTGCTGCAATCTTTCACGTCCGTTTGATTTTTCGACAAAGATTGGTGCTGTGCAAAAAACGGGGATCCTTGGACATTGGGAAAATTTTCCTGGGTAAAACTTTCTGTTGACGGGAGCTTCACTGCAGAAATTTTTTTAAAACAATATTAAAATTTGTTCAAGATGAAACCTTGAGATTTACTCATTATTGGGTTTAGCCCTTGCTTCAATAAATCAGTGTTATTGTTTTTATTAAGAGTAGGTCTTCGAAGATATTCCCACACATGCTTACACGGAAAATGTTCGTCGGGCTCTTTTTACTGATAAGAAGACGAACATTGATCAAAATAATACTTTTTCAATTGTTTACCAGCTCAAGCAATGGAAAAGCGAACGCTACCAGCAAATTCCAGTCGATAGAATGTTTTCTCCCAACTGAAAATACTTTGTTCTGTGAAATACCTTAACGGAGCACTCATTTCCTGCCTTCGATATCGGTCAGATTATTGCAGGGTATTTCGAACTTTCACCCAATTATGTCACCTTATTCAGTGATGTCGTTTCGTCGACTAAATGGTGGAATGATAGTAGGAGTGCACGAATGATACTTAGCTGACTAGGTCGCTACGACCTATGAACTAGGAGTCTATCTGACCATGTTAAAATTCCTATTACATTTTCCCTGAAACTTTACAGACCTACATGAACTTCTCGATGAGTGAAACCCCCGAAGCCATGGCTGCTCTGCACGCTCCGCAGTGCTGTGGATACGAATCTGGGCGTTCCACGTGCAGATGTGTTGACTCAGCTATCCAGTAATGGGTGGATTTCTCAATCGGTCTTACCCTTGCGAGTGTTTCAAACTCGTTCGAGGCTGGGGGTCTAAGAGGTAGCTCTTGGAGTTGCCCAGCTTGGTGAGCGGTAGAACAGCTGTAAACCGAACTGACGCTTACTCGCAAGAACGGCAAACCAATGGTGACTGTCAAGGAGTTTTCAGTAAGCTTGTGAGTGGTTTCCTTCTTGAAACTTATGTGTTACAGCAGACATCCTTCAGATATATATATATATATATGAGCTTTGCTAAGGGAATTGTGCCTGTCTCGAACTTTGTGGATAGAAGGAGAGCCAGGAAGGATCGGCCCCAATTTAGCCCATGTAACATTACTCGGGTGTTCTATCCAGAGTTTAAGGGAATTGTTGCTGTCTCGAACTTTGTGGATAGAAGGAGAGCCAGGAAGGATCGGCCCCAATTTAGCCCATGTAACATTACTCGGGTGTTCTTATCCAGAGTATTCATGGTGTGCCAATTCACTCTGGAGGTTGACGGACAGACTATAAGCAGGCTTTCCAAGCTGAACCTAGTGAATTTCAGCAAAACATACCAATTCGCATACCAGTCTGATTTATTTTGGAAGACCCAACTGAACTCCAGATGAATCTCTCGTTTGTGATGCTCTTAACTAACTGCATGTGCTGCAGAAGGCCGCCTCATGTTTCATTTGGCACGATATGCTAGTATCGCGATACATTGTGAAGACATGACACGTTACTCACGAGGTTGCTGAAAAATTCTCGACAGGCCACTTCTTGGGGCCCATCAGGTAGGTGTAGTCACCGAATGTCCCTAAATCGTATGTTTTACTTGAATCCAAGAAGGACGAAACCTATCATGGGCCATTAAAGTGTTTTCAACAACCTTGCAAGTAGCATATCACGGCTATGGATTGACTTTTTGTGTTAATCACAAAGAGGGTATTCAATAGCTTATTCAAAGACCTTGCCGCTTGAACTGATGCGCTCTTATTCAAAACAGTAAAATTCGCTGGATGCCTCCTTCGTAGAACTAAACAGCAGAAGTAACTGACGATCTATCTGTAAATGTGTTCAATTTACATACTGAAAGATCTGCATCGCAAACGGAAGTAAATATATACAGTCTTATATAATTCCAAGAGAGTATATCATACAGTTCAATCTTTTTACCCGACTCTCCTGTAGGTACCAGTAATAGGTAAACTAACCAATATCCTCAACGACTCTTCATGCTATTGAAACTTGCCAAAAGATTTCAAGGGATTTGTTGAATATGAAATCGGTTTATCTTCCCTTTGAGATTCTTTAACCATAAATTACCAAGGGTCTTCTACTCACAGATCTGCTACGACCTTAAAATAGTAACAGCAAGTTGTGTAGCTCTTTCCACTTTGTCCGGAGACGACATGATCGCTGCAGCTGTGTTTGACAACATGTATGCCCTGAGCACCAGCCCGCATGACTTGTCCATTGTTCTCTCTTCAAAACTGAGAGCTCATTATGATATCCAAATCGTGTGTTCTTTCTAAAACCGTGTAGAATCTGGCTTTTTGACTGATGCGCTTTCGGTGTGCAGAGCATTTTTGTCACGTTACAAAGACCTTTTTGTGTCATATTTCTGTGTGGTGAAATTGTGCATGGCGACCTGACTATCACTCATTTGCTCCATTGTGATTTAGCGACCGTCATCATGGCACACCAATAATTCCCTCATCCCATCCTCATAAATAGAACGGCAGAGGTTCAATATGGTTCAACTGAGAAGTGATGATTAACGAAACAGTTGGGTGAATCCGATGGCATTCTACCTAATCTAATTTATGTGGCTTCTATGTGACTTTCGTGTAACCTGCAACTCCCTGTACGGAGCTCATGATGAATGGAAACAGCTGTGCTCGTTCTTCGACCTAGAGGGCTAATGACATTCCTAATATTGCTTGTAGTCGCATCGAGCAAATGAAGTTAATCAGTGCACATTGTAGGTTGATCTATCTTCAGAATTCAATTGTGTATCATTAGGTTTACTGATAACTTGTGACAACCTGGTACACAGGTGAACGATGAATCGTTGTGTCTCTTACAAACAACGTCAGTATACCTTGGCTAATGGTAACGTAACGCACGAGTTACGTGAACTTTTTCCAGTGAAAGTTGGGGTGGATGGTTTCGGGGCGATTGTGGCCAGTGGCAGACATTAGGATTAGTTGACAGTCGTATCACTAAACCAGATCCCGGTAAATGGTAATCACCGGTGTAATCCTGAATGCTTTGATTATGACTACCGGTGCCAAAAGCCTGGGACTAATCAAGTTGTTTTTTCTGGAGTTGCACAAATCATATTAGAGGAATTACTTTCTGGAAGAGTAAGCACCATTATTTTGTAGGGTAACACCATATGCAAATGATCTTTCTATTCATCCCACAAAAGTGGTTGGCGACTTCAGAATTAGCTTCAGAAAATTGCTATTTTATTCATCATTATCATACCCATCTTTCTGCTGGAAGCAAATGTTGACGATGAGTGGTATTTATTTATCAGCAACGGCCAATTTTTCAGAACAGCCAAACACTTGTAAACTGTAACTAAATAGGCTCACAAGAAAACTTTAAGAAGGAATGGTTGCCTGTCCATGTAGTGGAATTCACCGAAATCCAAGCTAAGATCAAAACTGATCGTGCAGTAATTGCGAGCTTACGAAGGGCAGTCTCTGGCTGGAAACTTCGACAACCAACGTTGTCCAAATTAGTTAACAAGCGGTATGAGTTTGGTTTGGAGCAATTAGTTCGATCACCCAGCACGCTTCGTGGAACATCCACATTGCAAGGACACAGTATTGTTTGCTCAGGTGCGTA